GAACTTTTTTATATTCTTATGTTTATTTCGACTAAATGGATTCTAAAAAGAAGAGGTCGATTTATGTTGTTAGTTGTAGTTACTCGATCACTGCAAAACTATGATATGTTAAACCACAGGACCGTCAGAACACACAGCTTCACTCTAGACTGACAAGTACTTTGTGCAAATGATCTAGGACCTTGTAGCTTAATCCTTGATTTACGGTCATTGACATAACTGTCTAGAAAAGCGCATAGATCACCATAATATGCAGAAGATAGTAGAACACTGGCATTTACATTAATAAGCATTTGCGATAGCTCTGTCTCAGTGGCGACTATTAATAGAGGAACTACCGATCGACAGCATTTGTTTGCTTTATTAGAAACATGTTTTCAAAATCACATAGTAAACATTATTGTACATGAATAGTAAGTAGTAGGGCGTGGAACGTGATATCGTGAGATACGTGAAAAGAAGAAACACTTCATTTTTTTTTCACAAATTCTTTGCACAAACGAGACAGGAAGATAGACAGGCAATTGGTCTCTGGTATATTGGCCTTTTTGTCAGAATATTATATTTTCAACTCGTCATTAGTAAGAATGTGGTTTTACTTCCTCAATACAATTGTATGCTACCTTTTTTTAACGCAGACCTCCCCACAAGCTACAAGCACCAAATAAACTTGAAAAGAGTTATCCCTGAATAATGTACCAGCGTCAAGAACACTGTGCGCATGTGGAATGTTATCGCTTTTGTACATAATTGGGTTTAGTGCAAATAGTAACACTGAAAAAAATCTTTTTGAAAATCTATGAAATTCTTGTATGCTTAACCCAACTAGCATTATAACTCTCCCTTCCTTCCTTTTCTCTCCCCTCAGCATTCCCTCTCGAAGACTTTGCTACAGCTTGCGATTTACAATCTAAAGCGATCTATGAATACTTACGAATTACGATTTCTAGGCAAAAAAATTGTTTTGTTACTCTTTCCTGATGAGCATTCTTGCCACATGCTGTTGATAAGCCAAGCTGTTTGCTCACGCTGCATATGAAGAAAAGTGCCAGAAGGGTGGACTACGCATAAGCCAACGGCTTTGAACGCCTCAATGTTTAAAAACATTAAGCACATAAATTTTTATAGCATGTGTTTTAGGTCATACAAAAATCTATCAACTTTGACTACACTTTGTATAAGGAAGGTAAGCAGTTATGTACTAATCTTTGGTGGGTGATGAAGTAAGGAATCACAACAATCACAACAATCCACATTTAGCTAACGTCGTTATGCTCTACTTCAGCATTAGAATTTGATGTTAGAGCAAATGTGGACAAAAACGTTCTTTTGCAGTAGTAGCTTATAGGCGTGCATATCTTTTTCAGAGCGTTTAAGGAGACTGGCGCCACTCTTCCGATATACTATTACCTTTGCTTCGAGTTTTCTTCCTTAGCGCAATTAAATTATTAAGATGCAGTATATATTGACAAGAGCACTTACCGACCAGACTAAATCCATGCGACGAAGTCCGAATAAATCTACATTTTTTCCTACAGGGAGCAGACTCGATCGGTCTCATACTCTAAAAGTTGCAGCTCTTAACTGCAGAAATGTGGTCATGCGCAGGGGCAGAGGATGTGAAAGAGTACATTTTCCAGGCAGAGCTATCATAATTCAGGCGACAGAAAGCCATCTAAAAAAATTTCAATTGTTTATTGGCACAATATCAACCATTCTACCATAATGTTATTTCGTTTTTGCATTCGCTTATATGTTTGAGTGGTAGCAATCGCAAAGAATATTCGAATTAGCGCGAGAAAAAAAATTCGAAAAAAGGAGCCTCGGGCGGGATCAGGTCGTACCCCTTTTCAGCCAGAGCTGTCCAAAAAGTTTTGCAAATTTAAACAATTTTGTAGCTAATTTTTTAATACTTAAGTTATAATAAAAACTGTGGTATTTCACTTCTTCAAACTTTGTGGTCTAGTCTCGGGGAGGAGCCTATTACTGCACATAAGTGCGAAAATTATATATCTGTTATTTATCAGCAGATGGAATTATGTTGCATCCTCGTTGCCTTTTCAGCAGTGGTAAACCTAATGCGTCGTTTTAAACCCAGCATAGATAGATTAGTTGATGAAACGAGAACAGCTGAGGGCAAGGTGGGTAATCAGATGATCTACTTATTTCAATAATATATCAAATGCTTCTCATTTAATTTAGCTCTCAGCTCTGCAGGAGAGTCAGCATACTATTGTTGAAATTGTGGCAACGAAGCTGAATGAGTTGTTGAAATCTTTGGCGGTTTTGTACACAGATATCATGGTAAAATTTGTAATTTCATGTCATCCTGATCATAATTCTTTAAAAAGATTTAACAGCTCATTGCTGAGATTAGTTATGCAGTTCGACGGATAAACACGCAAATGCTTGAAAGGCCTTTCCGATGGAAAGGAGCCGGTTCATATTATTGACTTTAGATGTAGCGCGAACCACCTAAGAACCGTCTTCTATATGTGAGGCGCATTTTGGAAAACTGAGCATTTTCTATCTTTTCTTGAAAATGGCATACACGATTTGTAGAAAAGCCTCGAGAGTCTACCCTAAAGAAGCTACACAAAGCTGAATGTTCATGGAGACAATAACTCCCTAAGGGTTTTATTGCATTACGCTTTAAGTCGAAAATTTGTCCTTTTGAGTAATAATTAACAACCGTGCAAATTATATTTGGCAAGATCAAAAGGTTATTGAAGGGTAAATGAAGAATTGGACATCGTATAACACTCACTATTGATGTCTTAGTAAGCTCACTACGCATCTGTTAGAAGGGATTCCATACAAAGTTAAATATGTGGATCATTATAAAAATGTTGATCAGAGTTGACAACTCTATTTGTTTCCCAAATTTTTTTTTCAACTTTGGTCCATTTTAACAATCCTTACCAACACCAAATTGCTCTATTTAGGAAGAAGTAAGCTATAGAGCAGGAAAATGTGCTCCTTCTAATGACTATAGGCTAGCGTTGAGCAAATTATGGGATGCCCGAATATCAGCGCCCGCTCAAGGGCAATGGCTGCAATGCTGTAAGTTTTCCTTTCCAGATATGATAGTTGAAGTGATCTTCTATTAGAAAAGCAAGGCACCTTCGTATATACCATCTATGCTCTTGAAAACCTTTTTTTT